GTCACTGATGGACATTTTCTTTAAATTGAATTGTTTATAGGGAAGGCAGTAGAGCAGCCCATTCTCCCTGCAGCTGGCAGTAGTAAGGAGACTGAAAAATGCCTTTACAGTCCTCTTTTTCCCTGTTTTTTCTAACCTACTGCAGTATTTCGTTTGTCACTGCCTGCTTGGGGGTCCTGTGCAGATGTATCAGGTGTTGTGCAAGGCAATGTTAAGCAGGGAAGATAAATGGGCCTCTGCTAGAAGGAGTGAAGGATATTTGAAATGTCTTGTTTGTCTCCAAACTGTTGATAGCTTTCCATGAAAGCCAATTTTGGTAACCCCATGTTTTGTAATAATGGTTTAATGGTGAAAAGTAAATGTAGTCTTATTTTAAAGAATTAAGTCATGAAATTATATGGGATTCTGTCAGTCATTTCTGACCCTGACAGAATTTTACTTTGAGTGCCTTGGAAATTCTACTAGTAATTCCAGGCCATCTGTTTCATTTGAATGTGACAATGTGTACAAATTGTCATCTTAAAGGCATGCAGGTTACTTCTTTCCTCAGGATTAGCCATTGATCAGACCTTCCTTCTTGTGATGCAAAGCTGCAGCCAACATAAGTATATATCTATGGAGACAGAGAAACAGTTTCTTCTTTCCAGTCGTCCATGCGGAATGTTTACCTGTAGCATGCACAAGGGGACCTTGAGGCTTTTTAATTTGCCAGACAAAAAAGCCTAGACCTAAGTATGCTGGAAGTCAGACTGTATGTAGAAGTTACAGGCATCCCTAAGTCACATCAGGAGCACATCAGCTGGATCCTATGCACTTTTAGGTCTTCAGACAAGGAGATACAGAATGTTAGTGTATTGTTGAGGTGTCCAAATATTCTGTGGCATTGACCATCATAAACACATCTCAGTGGGATGGTCTCTAGGTCTGGCAATATCTGAGCGTACCAGCTTACAGACACAGTATGAATTGAATGAAAAAAGCAGATGCAGACTGTTCTTCAGTGTCCTAGTTAAGCGTGTTCCAAAGGCTGATTTCATTTATTTTGCTGTCTCGCCTCTTTCGTTCTGCCACTTTTCTGGTGGAGATGAAGTGGCTCAGTTCAAGTATTGTTTCTGCCTGTCCTGCAAAAATTTTGTTTGTTTTCTCTCAATTGACAAGTCTGAAGTGCCTCAACAATCAAGTCAGGATGCTTCCGTTAGTGAATATATCTGGTTCTGTAGTGAAATCTGGCTGTAAAACCACCATCTTTGTGATATTGGTCCTATGGTAATTGGCATATTACTCCATGGGGCTCTGAAGGAGGTTTTCTTGAGTCGCTGACATTGACTAGAAGGAAGGATGAAATGCTGATATTAATAGAAGATTCCGACCATGCTGTCTTTTATCCAAAAAGGACTTCCTTACAGACTTCAGTTCCTACCTCAGGTTGCCAGTGATTTCACTTTGCGTTCTGTTCCCAAAGCTTTGCTCCTTGGAAGCCAAATCATTGCTCTGTGTTCTTGACATGAGGAGAATCTTTTTACCTGTGGAGTCTGGGTCTTTAAGAAGCCTTAGTATCACGGTTTGAGGCTGGGCCGGCCACTA